GCCTGGGCAACATCCACCAGGTCCGCAGCCGCCTTGGCAACATCCACCAGGTCCACAGCCACCAGGTCCGCAGCCACCAGGGCCACACCCAGGGCCACATCCACCACATCCACAAGCTCCAGAGCCGCAGGGACCTGAGCCTCGCGGACATGAAGCACAAGAGCCTCCACAGCCGCAGCCGGGTGTCCAGTCATGCGATGGCACAGAAGGGGGGGTTACTGGCATTGGTGGGCGTGGCGGCACTGGAGGTGGGGCCGCAGGAACACTAGGGACACCGCTCTGAGCTGGTATCCGTCCTCTGAGTTCTCGTTCACCATGGGCAAAATGGCACGCAGCGCCGAAGTTGCAATTTCCTTGTTCCTCAGTGGCGAAGAGGCACACAATCATCCTAGCACAGCCACACCACAGTCCAAATGCAAGAACAAATGCAAAAAGGTTGCAGTTGGACATACCCTCATCACAGCCATTATTCTGTTGCCCGTGACAGGGTCGCGTGGCTGCAAACCGATGTTTCATATGGCCATGGGGTGCATTTGGGGGAGCCAATTGATCGATGATGGGCAAATCACGCAGCAAGTGCTACCACCTTCCCCTCCTTGGATGCCGAATTTGGCAGGGTTACCCTCCTTGGTGTTTTTTAGATTCTTTCCTATATTTCCTCTTTATAGCAAAAACTCTACTTCGGAACCTCCATATCAAAACCATAAGTCAGCATTGCTTCTGGACTGTATATATACATATATATGTCAATATCCAGCAAGGCAGGCCGTTGGTGAGCCTGTATGTTCAGGTCATGCACAAGTATCTCAAGATCATTCAATATCTAGACTATACTTGCAATTTTAATCACATTTACTCCAACAGGGCCACACCAGTTGTTCCCACCCAAAGACCTACGACCTCTCCGACCAGGTCCACCCACCCGGCTGGATCCGACCCCAACGACCGGTTATATATATATATATAAATTATATAAACCATGAGCAATCCAATGGTTCGCTTTTAAATTGACAAGAATGATGAAGAATGAGCCATGTATTCCAAGAACACCGCTTCTGCACGTTTAAGTTTACCGGTTCCTACCGCTTTTCTATGCTTTTCTTTGGCGTTGGCAGGTGTGTTTTTCCTCAGTGTCTCCATCCAAGAGACCCAGCGCTTGCAAAAGGAGGTCTTGTACAAATGCGCTTTGTCCGGTTTGAGGCCCGGGGGCATGAGGCCCAAAACGTCGGGAGGATGAGCTCCGGGTGGGATCAAGTCTTCCTGCCCGTTTCGCCCGCGGGAGGAAGGCGGGCAGCCGGTAGTTTTGGATCGCAATGGTTTTTTGATGTTGTTTGGGCGATCTGTCGGGGAACCCCCACGGAAATACCAAAGAAGTGCCCATCCGTTTCTGGTTGTGATGGGTGAAGATGAGGAGAAGGGTGTGATGAAAACTTGGAACCACCCTGTGACACCATTTCGGCTCACAGGTGTTGGATTTCAAGATTCTGTTGCCTTCACTCTTTTAGTTGCAAAATTCCTTAAGTGAAGTACCAATGGAACTCAGCCAGCCTGTGTGTCTATCAGTTTCTGGCTTTGACAGGTGAAGATGAATGTGGAGGGGTTCCTTCATGCATATTGGCTGAACATTAATCCCGGCAAAGGACCCCAAAAAGTGTTGCATGAGAATGGTGCAAGCGAACCCCTCACATGTGTCCAGAGCTTCATGTCGAAGACCTT